CTTCACTCACTGACCTACACTGTGTACGGGACTTCATCGGACTAGTTCCACATCAACATGCCATACAAGTGATCAGAGTACTATCTCTGCCTCTCACATTCTGTGTACGTAGACTCCATGCAACCTTTGGGCCCTATGGACCCACACTACTGTCTCCAACTGTACTACTCCCGCTGTTGGTGCTGCTTGTTCTGCTATCATGTACAGTATTGCAATATGCTGGTCATGCCCAAAAGGCGTGTCTCTCTTTGTGGAGATTAAAATATTTACTTGCTTTTTATTAGCAATGGTTCGAAAATATGCAAAACATTCGCATTCTTTATTATAGGCCATGCGTAATCTAGGAAAGAAACGAGGTGGAACAGTTCTTTGTGGAAATTTGAGTGTTAACTTGCCGGATAGTTGCAGCATCACCATGAAACTCGTCAGGATCAAAGTATTGAAGTCTAACTGTGGTGGAGGTGCAATACTAATATTGTTACAACTCACCTGATGCACGACACCAGATAGGTGACAGCGCCGAATGAGAACTAGTGGATAGTAGCCTATGAAGCCGTTTACTTGCAGTCTGGCACCTTTTCATTGATCGGCTACGGTGGAAACCACTCAGGATGGTATTACTTGAGGAACACTTGAATATCCCTCTGGCAGTAGGCGGCACAAACTTCTCAAATAAAGCAACAAGCTAAGACTGTTTGATTACAGTCCTCCGAGTTACGGCAATTCAGCACGACTGTCGGCAAGTCACAAACAATTGTTGCATTATTTGAAGGCTGTGACGTAACAGTGGCCAAGATTCTACGCATACAGAACGCATATATTGGCCTAATACATAGTATGGAAGAAGTGTCATTCGTGTGTGTATCGTCGAGCAACTTTTGTAGTGGGAGTCTAGCATCACAAGTATGAAAATTTGCGAAGCCGGTAATCCTGTGTCTGTGAGTATTCGGCGGAGGCGGTAGAGCATTGCTTCATAAGGAAATAATGCGAAGTTATCCAGTGAGCCAAATTTGCGCAACTCGTTACACAAATGCAACAACAGAGGACATTAAAACACTAACCTTTGCAACAATGATAGCCGCAGGTTGGCACAGCATGTTTTAATGCGGTATTCAAAGAACAATAAATATTGCATGACCCTATTGCAGTCGCATGATACATTGCTACAAATGGAATATTTTTCGTGTCCGCACAAGAGATTCTCTAGTTATTTTTGCAATATTATGGGTTTAAACTAGAAGCAACTGCTGAACTTCAGTCGCTTTCCATCCATTGGTGGGTGTTGTTTCCTAGCGATCTCCACAGATAAGAATTAACCGTACGCGGAGAGTCGGCGGTTGATAGCTGAAATGTGCTTCACTGGCACTCTGACGGTTACAATGATCGGATAAATTTGCCACAACATCAGCAGTCGACTCATTTGACCAAACCACATCGGGTGCATTTTAGCTGAATAGAAAGCAGAGACCATGTCGCTATTCAACGCTTCAAACGATGGATCGTTAAAGTAATATTCCGTTTGTCGCCAGTTTCAAAACCCTCCGTAGTCGTAAGCTGAATATCGGTTTAACCCAGTTAAACCACCCTACCTTCCAGTTGCAGTCATAAAATAACTGCACAAGTTGAACCGTTTCTTTTCCTCATTCGCTCAACAAGGACAGGAAATAGTTTCTGTACGCTGCATTTTTTGGCGCAAATATTCCCTAACCGATGCATCCGAAACGACGTGCTTTAGAGTCACTGTAGTCTAGCCACGGTAAGAATCTAAAGCCATAACTTTGGATGCAGTACTCAATTCCTTAATGGTGGGTTGCAAAATCTCGCTAACGATCAGGGGTCTGGAAGGTCCATATAACCGGCCCACCAAAAAGAGCTGAAAATGGATGCGCCAGGCTTGCAAAAATGGTCCAATACTAAAAGCGTGAGTTGCGACGTACGGGTCATCCCATCGATCTACACTTGTAACTTCATTTTTATTGGGAGCTCTGGGACAGTTTTCAAGTGCACTTCGAATATACGCATCTAGACTGAAAGGTACGTAATACGGACCATTGCAGAGTAGTTGGGGGATGTAACTGGCTTGCTCATAAGGGCACGCGCATTTTTGTGCAACCCCAAAGATACTTGTCTGAACTTAAGCAGTAAGTTGTTGAGTTGAGTCACCGACAGATTTCCCTAAAGCTTGCGGCAAATAGGGTTTCCTCATGTGTCACGCTCTGTAATAGAAACAGGGCAGTGCCTATACATGCTCGCGTAGTTAAACGACCGGTTTTCTATATTATTCAGGACCTGTAAGCGTGAGTGTGTGGATGGAGCTGCCCACGCACCCGCCGCTGTTTGAAGCGACTGGCAAGGTACTGAGCGGATCCGGCACAAATTATGAAAGCGAAACTGTGGACACATCGTCAAACAAGATGACGTTGTTGGATGGGTCAAACATTTCCAGGTGAGGATAAATACAAACAAGTAAAAATAACTAGAGCATAGAGAACCTGATTAATTTCTGTGGAGATCTAGCATTTAGCCCTGCAATAAGAAGGTGGACTCTCATCCCGGAGTAGGTGGTATTTGGCCCCGCGAGTTTGTACTTCTTCCTTTTTCGCCTTTTAATAATCTAAAAGATGGAACGAGTAAAAGCGAAGTTACTCTACTGTGAACCGGCCTGCAACCCACCTGGTCTGTGGAACAACGGTCTGAGCATGGTTGGCGGCATCCGGTTTCGAATTTTCCTGTCCCTGTGGCCAGCCACAGTACGCCTGCGCCTACAGAGGAACTAGGGATGGCTTACGCTGCACCACCCACAGCTCCAACTGCACACCCCATATCCAGTGTAAACCCGAAGGAATAAGACCGGGAGGCATGTAGATGGGAGCCACGTTTCAGTAACGGAGCCGGCTCACACTCCTTCACAGACAAACAAAAACACGCTGTGTTTGGGGAATCAACCGCTTACAAGGCTGTGGCTGGACCGTAGTCCGCTCCACATTGAGTGCATGGAACCACTCTTCGAGCCCAGCACGGCCACAAGGACCGCGCACCCCGTCCCTTCCAGCACCGACGAACTGTCTCCTGGAGCCTGTATGAACGAGGTAATAGACAGGTGGGCACCTTGTCAACATGCATAACAAACGCAGCCACACCTGGGATATCAAGCAACAGCCAACCACTTGAAACGACACGACGAAATGAAATAAATCGAAGGATGCATACAGAAACGGTGACATAACTGTTCGCTAAATTACAATATATAAATAAATAAATAAATAGGTATATTTCTAGACCTGCTAGAGGCTGCACCCTAAAGGGTTCAGATCAAGGCTTACATTAATCCGATGCTCTTGCATGGAAGTAGGCAAAATATAAATATATGTTCATCGTTAGAAATTCCAAATGCATTGGCACTGTTTGGTATACAGCTACTGGGTATCAGGCGCCCACCTTGACGTTTTCTGGTTCCTTCGGGCGATCTTGAGCTCCTTGTTATTTTATTGTGAAAAACTTCGCGGAGTTGTGCCTTTTCTCCTTGGAACAGAATCCATTTCGCCGAAAGTTCACTTTAAATTGATCGCACATTAATTGGCCACTCAGTTGCCCCAATTGTTGTTGCGCACATGGAAGAAACGAGTGAAGGGATTATAAGGCATCCAAAAAGTTTAAAAAAATTTCGATAAATGCAGGCAAGAATAGAAACAATTTGTTAAGAGAGTAAATAAATCCGCGCGCTTTAGTAGAAAAAGACCAATTAACAAAAAAATAGAACCCTTCTTTTCTTACGCTGATATTGCTCTCCGGCGCGAAATTTCAACCTGAGTTATTCTCAGATAAAAGAAAAAGCCTCTCTACAGTTACAATACTGCATAAAGTGGCACAAAATTGCACTGATCTGGACCAGCTTTAGCGCCTGAATAAGCTGAACTTAAAAGCAACACAATACGTGCAGTATTTTGCGAGTTATTCGCAATTAAATGATGGTCTACGAATAAGGCCATTTTTAATTTTCGCTAAAAATGGCTTTCTGCTTTGCAAGCAGATAGCAGAAAAAAGAAAAGAAAACATAAAAAGTAGGGAAGCGGCATATGATCTAGATGGGCATGGCTATCCAGAAATGCTCTAATTAGCCCGTAATACCCTGCGACAACTACGGGCTGCGCAGGTGGCCGAAAAGTAAACTTTGTAGGCATACATGATAAATATATGCAAATAAGGGATGGTTTTGCGCGAAAACACTAGAAATCCAGCAAGGAATATTATATCTACATGGGAATTCAGGGGAGCCTGTAATTAACTCACGGTTAGAAGGCCACGGCATACCGTTTTCAGGGGATGCTGAGCCACATAAACAACCAGAAAAATAGAGTTTAGCATTTTTTAAGGCTCTAAGCTTTACTAAAGCTTATAACAAGACCGCATGAGCCAAGTCTACCTGAGTAAACCAGGGGGTATTTCAGATCGGCTGACAGATTTCGGCCTGCAAAATAGACACATTACTTGGCTAAACATCACAAGATTTATCCCTTATAGCCGATTTCCTATATTCATGAGGCTCTGTCACTAACATCAGTGAGCTACAGGAGCCTGTCACCAATAATAAAGAAATAAGCATGGGAAAATTTAGTAAAATTTAGCTAATTGCATTTGGGCGTGAAATCCGTTTTGGTCTACATTGGTTGGGCTTTAACAGCTCTACTTCTGGTGGTTGAGCTTGCTCACACTTGAGTTATTGTTATGCCTCGTGTGTAGATGCACACTATTGTGCAGCTCTTTGATGAATTTTGATTTATTTCTCTCCGTTCTTAAGTTCCGAAGATAGTGCCGGCGGTGTTCATCCAGATGGCAATGTTAACTGGTACTCTAATGTTGTAGCGCCCAAAAAGATAACTCTTATCTTTCGTGTACAATTTACTTGTTGACCGATTGTACATTACTCCTTCTTGTTTTAATCTTACAACCGGCTCGACACACACCGCCTTGTAAGTTCCCGCGCTCACGTGTACTCACAGTCAGTGTGTATCTCTCTCAACAACAACAACAGCACAGGAGAAGGGTATGAAAAGCCAACAAAAATGACAGAAACAAAAAAAAACTAAAACACCCCCCCAAAACCCCCCACCCCCATCCCCCCCCCCCCCCCCCCCCCCCCCCCCCCCCCCCCCCCCCCCCCCCCCCCCCCCCCCCCCCCCCCCCCCCCCCCCACCCCCCCCCCCCCCCCCCCCCCCCCCCCCCCCCCCCCCCCCCCCCCCCCCCCCCCCCCCCCCCCCCCCCCCCCCCCCCCCCCCCCCCCCCCCCCCCCCCCCCCCCCCCCCCCCCCCCCCCCCCCCCCCCCCCCCCCCCCCCCCCCCCCCCCCCCCCCCCCCCCCCCCCCCCCCCCCCCCCCCCCCCCCCCCCCCCCCACCCCCCCCCCCCCCCCCCCCCCCCCCCCCCCCCCCCCCCCCCCCCCCCCCCCCCCCCCCCCCCCCCCCCCCCCCCCCCCCCCCCCCCCCCCCCCCCCCCCCCCCCCCCCCCCCCCCCCCCCCCCCCCCCCCCCCCCCCCCCCCCCCCCCCCCCCCCCCCCCCCCCCCCCCCCCCCCCCCCCCCCCCCCCCCCCCCCCCCCCCCCCCCCCCCCCCCCCCCCCCCCCCCCCCCCCCCCCCCCCCCCCCCCCCCCCCCCCCCCCCCCCCCCCCCCCCCCCCCCCCCCCCCCCCCCCCCCCCCCCCCCCCCCCCCCCCCCCCCCCCCCCCCCCCCCCCCCCCCCCCCCCCCCCCCCCCCCCCCCCCCCCCCCCCCCCCCCCCCCCCCCCCCCCCCCCCCCCCCCCCCCCCCCCCCCCCCCCCCCCCCCCCCCCCCCCCCCCCCCCCCCCCCCCCCCCCCCCCCCCCCCCCCCCCCCCCCCCCCCCCCCCCCCCCCCCCCCCCCCCCCCCCCCCCCCCCCCCCCCCCCCCCCCCCCCCCCCCCCCCCCCCCCCCCCCCCCCCCCCCCCCCCCCCCCCCCCCCCCCCCCCCCCCCCCCCCCCCCCCCCCCCCCCCCCCCCCCCCCCCCCCCCCCCCCCCCCCCCCCCCCCCCCCCCCCCCCCCCCCCCCCCCCCCCCCCCCCCCCCCCCCCCCCCCCCCCCCCCCCCCCCCCCCCCCCCCCCCCCCCCCCCCCCCCCCCCCCCCCCCCCCCCCCCCCCCCCCCCCCCCCCCCCCCCCCCCCCCCCCCCCCCCCCCCCCCCCCCCCCCCCCCCCCCCCCCCCCCCCCCCCCCCCCCCCCCCCCCCCCCCCCCCCCCCCCCCCCCCCCCCCCCCCCCCCCCCCCCCCCCCCCCCCCCCCCCCCCCCCCCCCCCCCCCCCCCCCCCCCCCCCCCCCCCCCCCCCCCCCCCCCCCCCCCCCCCCCCCCCCCCCCCCCCCCCCCCCCCCCCCCCCCCCCCCCCCCCCCCCCCCCCCCCCCCCCCCCCCCCCCCCCCCCCCCCCCCCCCCCCCCCCCCCCCCCCCCCCCCCCCCCCCCCCCCCCCCCCCCCCCCCCCCCCCCCCCCCCCCCCCCCCCCCCCCCCCCCCCCCCCCCCCCCCCCCCCCCCCCCCCCCCCCCCCCCCCCCCCCCCCCCCCCCCCCCCCCCCCCCCCCCCCCCCCCCCCCCCCCCCCCCCCCCCCCCCCCCCCCCCCCCCCCCCCCCCCCCCCCCCCCCCCCCCCCCCCCCCCCCCCCCCCCCCCCCCCCCCCCCCCCCCCCCCCCCCCCCCCCCCCCCCCCCCCCCCCCCCCCCCCCCCCCCCCCCCCCCCCCCCCCCCCCCCCCCCCCCCCCCCCCCCCCCCCCCCCCCCCCCCCCCCCCCCCCCCCCCCCCCCCCCCCCCCCCCCCCCCCCCCCCCCCCCCCCCCCCCCCCCCCCCCCCCCCCCCCCCCCCCCCCCCCCCCCCCCCCCCCCCCCCCCCCCCCCCCCCCCCCCCCCCCCCCCCCCCCCCCCCCCCCCCCCCCCCCCCCCCCCCCCCCCCCCCCCCCCCCCCCCCCCCCCCCCCCCCCCCCCCCCCCCCCCCCCCCCCCCCCCCCCCCCCCCCCCCCCCCCCCCCCCCCCCCCCCCCCCCCCCCCCCCCCCCCCCCCCCCCCCCCCCCCCCCCCCCCCCCCCCCCCCCCCCCCCCCCCCCCCCCCCCCCCCCCCCCCCCCCCCCCCCCCCCCCCCCCCCCCCCCCCCCCCCACCCCCCCCCCCCCCCCCCCCCCCCCCCCCCCCCCCCCCCCCCCCCCCCCCCCCCCCCCCCCCCCCCCCCCCCCCCCCCCCCCCCCCCCCCCCCCCCCCCCCCCCCCCCCCCCCCCCCCCCCCCCCCCCCCCCCCCCCCCCCCCCCCCCCCCCCCCCCCCCCCCCCCCCCCCCCCCCCCCCCCCCCCCCCCCCCCCCCCCCCCCCCCCCCCCCCCCCCCCCCCCCCCCCCCCCCCCCCCCCCCCCCCCCCCCCCCCCCCCCCCCCCCCCCCCCCCCCCCCCCCCCCCCCCCCCCCCCCCCCCCCCCCCCCCCCCCCCCCCCCCCCCCCCCCCCCCCCCCCCCCCCCCCCCCCCCCCCCCCCCCCCCCCCCCCCCCCCCCCCCCCCCCCCCCCCCCCCCCCCCCCCCCCCCCCCCCCCCCCCCCCCCCCCCCCCCCCCCCCCCCCCCCCCCCCCCCCCCCCCCCCCCCCCCCCCCCCCCCCCCCCCCCCCCCCCCCCCCCCCCCCCCCCCCCCCCCCCCCCCCCCCCCCCCCCCCCCCCCCCCCCCCCCCCCCCCCCCCCCCCCCCCCCCCCCCCCCCCCCCCCCCCCCCCCCCCCCCCCCCCCCCCCCCCCCCCCCCCCCCCCCCCCCCCCCCCCCCCCCCCCCCCCCCCCCCCCCCCCCCCCCCCCCCCCCCCCCCCCCCCCCCCCCCCCCCCCCCCCCCCCCCCCCCCCCCCCCCCCCCCCCCCCCCCCCCCCCCCCCCCCCCCCCCCCCCCCCCCCCCCCCCCCCCCCCCCCCCCCCCCCCCCCCCCCCCCCCCCCCCCCCCCCCCCCCACCCCCCCCCCCCCCCCCCCCCCCCCCCCCCCCCCCCCCCCCCCCCCCCCCCCCCCCCCCCCCCCCCCCCCCCCCCCCCCCCCCCCCCCCCCCCCCCCCCCCCCCCCCCCCCCCCCCCCCCCCCCCCCCCCCCCCCCCCCCCCCCCCCCCCCCCCCCCCCCCCCCCCCCCCCCCCCCCCCCCCCCCCCCCCCCCCCCCCCCCCCCCCCCCCCCCCCCCCCCCCCCCCCCCCCCCCCCCCCCCCCCCCCCCCCCCCCCCCCCCCCCCCCCCCCCCCCCCCCCCCCCCCCCCCCCCCCCCCCCCCCCCCCCCCCCCCCCCCCCCCCCCCCCCCCCCCCCCCCCCCCCCCCCCCCCCCCCCCCCCCCCCCCCCCCCCCCCCCCCCCCCCCCCCCCCCCCCCCCCCCCCCCCCCCCCCCCCCCCCCCCCCCCCCCCCCCCCCCCCCCCCCCCCCCCCCCCCCCCCCCCCCCCCCCCCCCCCCCCCCCCCCCCCCCCCCCCCCCCCCCCCCCCCCCCCCCCCCCCCCCCCCCCCCCCCCCCCCCCCCCCCCCCCCCCCCCCCCCCCCCCCCCCCCCCCCCCCCCCCCCCCCCCCCCCCCCCCCCCCCCCCCCCCCCCCCCCCCCCCCCCCCCCCCCCCCCCCCCCCCCCCCCCCCCCCCCCCCCCCCCCCCCCCCCCCCCCCCCCCCCCCCCCCCCCCCCCCCCCCCCCCCCCCCCCCCCCCCCCCCCCCCCCCCCCCCCCCCCCCCCCCCCCCCCCCCCCCCCCCCCCCCCCCCCCCCCCCCCCCCCCCCCCCCCCCCCCCCCCCCCCCCCCCCCCCCCCCCCCCCCCCCCCCCCCCCCCCCCCCCCCCCCCCCCCCCCCCCCCCCCCCCCCCCCCCCCCCCCCCCCCCCCCCCCCCCCCCCCCCCCCCCCCCCCCCCCCCCCCCCCCCCCCCCCCCCCCCCCCCCCCCCCCCCCCCCCCCCCCCCCCCCCCCCCCCCCCCCCCCCCCCCCCCCCCCCCCCCCCCCCCCCCCCCCCCCCCCCCCCCCCCCCCCCCCCCCCCCCCCCCCCCCCCCCCCCCCCCCCCCCCCCCCCCCCCCCCCCCCCCCCCCCCCCCCCCCCCCCCCCCCCCCCCCCCCCCCCCCCCCCCCCCCCCCCCCCCCCCCCCCCCCCCCCCCCCCCCCCCCCCCCCCCCCCCCCCCCCCCCCCCCCCCCCCCCCCCCCCCCCCCCCCCCCCCCCCCCCCCCCCCCCCCCCCCCCCCCCCCCCCCCCCCCCCCCCCCCCCCCCCCCCCCCCCCCCCCCCCCCCCCCCCCCCCCCCCCCCCCCCCCCCCCCCCCCCCCCCCCCCCCCCCCCCCCCCCCCCCCCCCCCCCCCCCCCCCCCCCCCCCCCCCCCCCCCCCCCCCCCCCCCCCCCCCCCCCCCCCCCCCCCCCCCCCCCCCCCCCCCCCCCCCCCCCCCCCCCCCCCCCCCCCCCCCCCCCCCCCCCCCCCCCCCCCCCCCCCCCCCCCCCCCCCCCCCCCCCCCCCCCCCCCCCCCCCCCCCCCCCCCCCCCCCCCCCCCCCCCCCCCCCCCCCCCCCCCCCCCCCCCCCCCCCCCCCCCCCCCCCCCCCCCCCCCCCCCCCCCCCCCCCCCCCCCCCCCCCCCCCCCCCCCCCCCCCCCCCCCCCCCCCCCCCCCCCCCCCCCCCCCCCCCCCCCCCCCCCCCCCCCCCCCCCCCCCCCCCCCCCCCCCCCCCCCCCCCCCCCCCCCCCCCCCCCCCCCCCCCCCCCCCCCCCCCCCCCCCCCCCCCCCCCCCCCCCCCCCCCCCCCCCCCCCCCCCCCCCCCCCCCCCCCCCCCCCCCCCCCCCCCCCCCCCCCCCCCCCCCCCCCCCCCCCCCCCCCCCCCCCCCCCCCCCCCCCCCCCCCCCCCCCCCCCCCCCCCCCCCCCCCCCCCCCCCCCCCCCCCCCCCCCCCCCCCCCCCCCCCCCCCCCCCCCCCCCCCCCCCCCCCCCCCCCCCCCCCCCCCCCCCCCCCCCCCCCCCCCCCCCCCCCCCCCCCCCCCCCCCCCCCCCCCCCCCCCCCCCCCCCCCCCCCCCCCCCCCCCCCCCCCCCCCCCCCCCCCCCCCCCCCCCCCCCCCCCCCCCCCCCAGGGCCTA